CCCTCTGTACGGTTTTATCATATAACATACACCTGTTAGCACTCTATACGGTTTTATCATATAACATACGCTAGTTAGCACTCTCTACGGTTTTACATATAATATACGCCAGTTAGCACTCTCTGCGGTTTTATCATATAACATACACCTGTTAGCACTCTGTACGGTTTTATCATATAACATACACCTGTTAGCACTCTGTACGGTTTTACATATAATATACGCCAGTTAGCACTCTCTGCGGTTTTATCATATAACATACACCTGTTAGCACTCTGTACGGTTTTACATATAATATACGCCAGTTAGCACTCTGTACGGTTTTATCATATAACATACACCTGTTAGCACTCTTTACGGTTTTATCTTGAACAGCTGAAAGATTGTATCTAGAATTGTTGTATGGGTTTACATCGAACTGTTGTAAGGCTTTTCTAGAATTGTTGTACGGTTTTATCTCGAACTGTTGTAAGATTGTATCTAGAATTATTGTACAGTTTTATCTATAACTGGTGTAAGATTGTATTTAGATCTGCTGTAAGGTTTATCTCCAGCTGTCATAAATTTGTATCTGGAATTGTTCTAGTGTTTGTTTTGAGTTGTTGTTTGACTGTATCTGAAATTATTGTAGGGTTTATCTCGACCTGTAGGATTGTGTCTAGAACTGTTGTATGGTTTAGCTCAAACAGTTGTATGATTGTGTCTGCAATTGTTGTAGGGTTTGTCTCGGACTGTTGTAAGATTGAATATAGAACTGTTGTTGGGTTTTTATTTTGAACTGTTGTAAGACTGTACCTAGAAATGTTGTAAAATTGTATCTCGAACTGTTGCAAGATTGTATCTAGAACTGTTGTAAAATTGTATCTAGAATTGTTATAGTGTTTATCTGGAGTTGTTGTTAGATTGTATCTAGAATTGTTGTATGGTTTATCTCAAACAGTTGTATGATTTTGTCTGGAATCGTTCTAGGGTTTGTCTCGGACTGTTGTAAGATTGGATAAAGAACTGTTGTAGGGTTTTTATTTTGAACTGTTGTAAGATTATAACTAGAATTACTCTATAGTTTTATCTCGAACTGCTAAAAGATTAAATCAAGAACCGTTGTATGGTTTTATAAGGAACTGTTGTAAGACTGTATCTGATCTTGAAATTTTGTACGGTTTTATCTCAAACTGTTGCAAGATTGTATCTAGAACTGTTGTAAGATTGCATATATAATAGTTGTAATATTGTTTCTAGATATATTGTAATATTTTGTATAAAATTGTTGTAGAATTGTACCTAGATTTTCCTTACTTTCGTAAAACATTATCCATATTATTGTTTCAATATTCTGTCTAGCACTGTGATATTCTGTCTATTAATGTTGTATTCTGTCTAGCACTGTGATATTATGTCTAGCACTATGATATTTTGTCTATCACTGTGATATTATGTCTATCACTGTGATATTCTGTCTAACAATGCAATATTATGTCTTTTAATGTTGTATTCTGTATAGCACTGTGATATTCTGTCTAACAATGCAATATTCTGTCTATTAATGTTGTATTCTGTCTAGCACTGTGATATTCTGTCTAGCACTGTGATATGTTGTCTAGCACTGTGATATTATGTCTATCACTGTGATATTATGTCTATCACTGTGATATTTTGTCTATCACTGTGATATTATGTCTAGCACTGTGATATTATGTCTAGCACTGTGATATTCTATCTATCACTGTGATATTCTATCTAGCACTGTGATATTCTATCTAGCACTGTGATATTCTGTCTAGCACTGTGATATTCTGTCTAGCACTGTGATATTCTGTCTAACACTGTGATATTCTGTCTATCACTGTGATATTATGTCTAGCACTGTGATATTTTGTCTATCACTGTGATATTTTGTCTATCACTGTGATATTCTGTCTAGCACTGTGATATTCTGTCTATTACTGTGATATTCTATCACTGTGATATTCTGTCTATCACTGTGATATTCTGCCTATCACTGTGATATTCTGCCTATCACTGTGATATTCTGTCTATCACTGTGATATTCTGTCTATCACTGTGATATTCTGTCTAACACTGTTATGCAAAGAATGAATATAAAAAGGAAATCTATCGAACATTACGAAAACAAAACAAAAAGCTTGGACTTGGCAGCGTCAGACTAAACAAAGCAAACAATAAACTACAACTAGACAATTAAATGTAGTCAGTAATCACCATTAGGCTACGAACAGACAGAAGAAAGCCTGTGATGAAGATGTCCATACACTTCTCATCTGTTTTTTGTGTTTTTTTTTGGGGGGGGGGGGGGGGGGGTGTTCATGTTCATTCGTCGTCGTTCCCGTTGAGCGGTTGTGACACACGATTTCACAGCAAATTAACAGCGGAACAAAACACACACACACACACACACAAACAGAACACTTCCAAGATACTTGAACTAGACCTATTTCACGATAACACTATGTGTTCCTTTTCTAATGCATTAAACTGACAAAACATCGCAATCATAAATATATAACTAGCTTTTTAAACATTGTATTTACAATTTCCAAATTATGTTCATACTCCTTAAAGCTGCTATTGTCTTTTTTTAAACCGTACATAATGTAGTTATTTGTGTTTCTTTATTAATACAACTTAGTTCCTAAATAATGAAACTTATCTGTTACTTCAATTATTGTTGTCTTCAGTGCGACATCTGCGTCAACAATAGCCTTCTTGTTCTTCTTTTTCTTCTTCTTCTTCTTTTTCTTCTTTTTCTTCTTCTTCTTCTTCTTTTTCTTCTTCTTCTTCTTCTTCTTCTTCTTCTTCTTCTTCTTCTTCTTCTTCTTCTTCTTCTTCTTCTTCTTCTTCTTCTTCTTCTTCTTCTTCTTCTTCCCCTCTTCTTCTTCTTCTTTTTCTTCTTCTCATGTCCTCTACTCCTGTCCTCTATTCCTGAAATGACTCGCAGCGTCAGCGCAGGAACAGATCTCTGGAACGTGCCCTTCTATTCGCTTCCTTTAAAGTACTTTCCAGTGTTTATGATATTTCTGCAGTCCATCTTCTGCGTGGTCTACGTCTGGTTCTGTTACCGCCGTATCTATATAACATTGGTTTCTGTGGTGCCCTGTTTGCTGCCAATCTTGTTACATGGCTAAACCATTTGATTAGTTGTCTACCCATACAGTTCAGTATAGGTTCCGTGCCGAGCCTCCTGCTGATATCGGGTGTTTATCGCTCAGTGTGACGATGTCCTAGTTGGGTAATAAGCCAGTCATCAGTCATCGTTCCTAAGTCCATCTTCTCTTGTTACAGTAGAAACCAACGCAATACGATCTGCTGCCAAAACGCCTGCAGCTGGAATCGAACCCGGCACCATGGCATTACGAAAAGCGTTCGCACCGCCTCAGCCAGTCGGTGTCCGTTAGAGTGTACATACGTTATTTAGCGTGCTCTACAGTTGACAAGTCAAGCTACCACAATCTAACTAGTTTTTTCGCCAGGGACACTAGATGAGTATCGTTTATTCTATTCATTAGAGTCCTATGTAGTCACTTCATAGTTAGAGCCTATTTGTGTATGTGTACTGTGTTGTCCTTTATGTGCTGATAAAGGCTAATCGCCGCAACGTCCTTTGTTTGTTTATTGTGATCGATTTTGTAAAGCTAACATAAACTAATTGTTGTTTCTTACCAACTTTTTCTCTTCCCTATAATTTTCTACTCCTTATAAAAAACACAATCTAACTATCGATATGTTAAGAAATGTGGGACATAAAACAGGAATGTATCTAAGTGAGCACAGCTACTGAGACAGACCGACCACATATCCTCTCTGTGTGGGTGTGTGTGTGTGTGTGTGTATGAGTGTGTGTGCTCACGTGTGTGTGTATATGTTCACGTGTGTGTGTATGTGTTCACGTATGTGTATGGGTGTGTGTGTGTATGAGTGTGTGTGTGTGCGCGCACGTGTGTGCTCACGTGTGTGTGTATGTGTTCACGTGTTTGTGTATGGGTGTATGTGTGTATGAGTGTGTGTGTATGAGTGTGTGTGTGTGTGTATGAGTGAGTGTGTGTATATATATAAGTGTGTGTGTATGAGTGTGAGCGTGTGTGTATAAGTGTGTGTATGGGTGTGTGTGTGTGAGCGTGTGTGTAGGTGTGTCTGTGCGTGTGTATGTGTGTATATATGTGAGTGTTGTGTCCAATACTACTTGACTCGTTTGTATTAATAAATTTATGTTAAAAATAAATCTTTTTTTTTTCTTTTTACATCTCTACTCTTTCCAGAACCTCTGTTGTTGATTGATGTGGTTTACACGAAGTAGGACATGATTCTGTTTACCTACACCTACACCCACACCCACACCTACACCTACACCTACACCCACACCTACACCCACACCTACACCAACACCTACACCCACAGCCACACCTACACCCACACCCATACCTACACTCACACCAACACCTACACCCACACCCACACCTACACCCAAACCTACACCTACACCTACACCCACACCTACACCCACACCTACACCCACACCCACACCTACACCCACACCCGCAGGAGCTCACTTCTACTTTCTGATTCCTTGTTTAATGTCTCAGTTCTTGCAGTAATTATACTCAGACGAAATTTCGAGACACGTGTATGTTGATTCTAGGCTCATATGTGTATGTGCGAGTGTGTGTGTGTGTGATATATATATATATATATATATATATATATATATATATATATATATATATATATATATATATATGTATATGTATATATATATATATATATATATATATATATATATATATATATATATATATATATATATATATATATATATATATATATATATATTTATATATATATATATATAATCATACCGCAGTAAATGAAGGCAATGACTCTTTATACAGGCACATACAGTGTTTAGGCATCGACATAAACATAGACAGGCGGGAGAGATGGGCGTGCGTGAGTACACAACATGGACAGACAAGGTCGGCACTTACCAGCAGAGCTGCCTCCGTCCAGACCCTCAAATGTTTTACTGGTCATGGCCATGAGGGCGTCCAGCGGAGAGACAGCCTTGTTCTTGCTACTGCTGCAGGCTAGACTTTTTATCGGCGGTTCGTCGTCGTCAACTGAGATCTCTTCATCCTCGTCTGAAGACGCTTCGCTGGCGGTCAGAATAGTTCCAGGAGTCTGGGCAGACGACCTAGAGTTCGCTGATGGAGATGGAGCTTCAAGGTCGTTGTTCCAAGGTCGCACAATTTTCGTGGTCAGGTTGACAGGTGTGTTGTGTGCAGCTATGTGCAGTAGGTCGCTATGAGCCAAGTACTGACAGGAACTGGTTAATCCGGAGACTGTAGGTCTGTGCCGACCGTTGGACACGGCTGATCGATTCAAGGACATCAATGACAACGACGGTTTCAAAGCCAACTTGTGCTTCTCCTTCCTGCAAGTGTTCATCATCTCGGCTTCCGTGTCTCTGCCAATACTGCCCTTTTTCTGGTTGCCGTCATGTCTGCAAGGCTGATTGTGGGTTTTCACAAACTCGCTCTGTTCGCCAGCCGGTCCTCGGGGTTTAGGTTTCTGTGGTCGATGATCACCAAGCTCATTGTGAGAATTTGGGTTGCTGCATTTCTGGATGTTTGTCTCCGACTCCATGCTAGCGATGCCAAGTATGTCTCTGATGCAGAACGAGGTGTAAGGTTTGCCCGGGTTTCTGGGCGGCTGAAGCTGCACCATGGCCAGGCGCCGGAGGGGCTCGTATTGATCGCGACCGTCATCCTCCTCCGTCTTGGACATGGTCATTCTAGCGGTGATGGGGACGTTCTTCTGTCTACTGGCAACCTGGCAAAGGCAAATCACCAACTCGTGTTTATACTTAGTTTAAACATTGGCCTTTACACCGGCACCCCGTTAATCTGTTATTCCCCACCCCCCCCCCCCAACCCCTTTTTGGGGGGGGGGGGGGGCCAATTCTTTCTGTCTCATTATGTTTGTCACGTTTGTGTGTCTGTTTGCTGTCTCTCATTATAGTTCCCTTATGTCTTTTTCCCCTCATTATTACTTTTAATGTTTCTCTCACGCCCTGTCATAGTCTATGGCATGTGTTTAAAAACTCCGAATGTTTCCATGTCACGACTTCCGTACCTCCAGTGTACGTTTTCCCTGTGTTTTCTTATGTTAATGTTTTTCTCCGGTTTTACGTCCTTTTTTTTTTTTTTTACCCGACCCGTTTCCTCTGGTTTCTGTACCTTTTTTTCTATGAGCGCGAACTGACACAAGCTGTCTCTTTCTCACTCACTCTTCTCTTAATTTCTATTAATTTTTTCTCTGTCAGGCTCTCTCTCTCTCTCTCTCTCTCTCTCTCTCTCTCTCTCTCTCTCTCTGTCTCCTTCTCTCTCTCTCTCTCTCTCTCTCTCTCTCTCTCTCTCTCTCTCTCGCTTTATCCCTCCACACGCCTTTCTGAAAGAAACCCAGCATTAAAACGACAGAATATCAACGTGTTTATGTCGACTTTATGACAGAGATTCTCTACCACATTAAACTTTACCTTCAGAGCCGACGCTGCTCCCAGAACGACAGAATATCAACGTGTTTATGTCGACTATATGACAGAGACTCTCTCCCACATTAAACTTTACCCACAGAGCCGACGCTGCTCCCAGAACCAGCGGCAGAACTTCATGGTCGCCTGGGACTGACGGTTGTCAATTTCAAAAATAAAATAAAAAACTCACTCACGCATACATGCACACATGGTAAGGTTCCTTCATACACAGCTTCCAAACTCCGCTAACTAGACACACATATTCTATGTTCTTGTCTTGTGTATACTTCAACACCAGAGTGACATGAAACCGAGATTCCTAACTTTAACTTGTGTATATCTGCACATTGAACTGTCACCCAAGGTGAACGTACTGTCAGGTTACCGGTGTCAAACAATAACCCACAGTTATACATTTATCAGCTGATAACTTTACGTCAAATCTGTTATTGTTCGTTCTCTAATGGTCAACAGAATTTACAAAGCTTGGCAAACATTTATTTATAGATATTTCAGGGAACTGTTGTACGTAGTCAGTTCCGGTGTGTGTTTACGTGCTGTCTGTCAAGCGATTTGTGTACCCTGGGGTGACCCAGTGATTAAGAGCGATCTCAACTGGGTGGGGCCGCATCAACTGGACAAAGGAAGATCGTTGGTGAAAGAGGAACAATATTTTTGTAGTTATAGGAATTGGTGGTAGGACACCTGAGGTAGAAGAAAACAAGGGTTTGTGTGTGTGTGTGTGTGTGTGTGTGTGTGTGTGGAGGGGGAGGAGGCGGGTGGTGGTGACGGTGTCTACATCTTCACAGACAAATAAACATTAGAAAAGAATACGTTCACACGGATGAGATTTTCTACACCATTAAATGTCTGAGGTCAGTTGTTTGGTTGTGCGACAGTGACGGCCCTGCTAAATCGTCATATCACGAGCTAGTGGTTGACGGCGCAGCTGGTTAATGACCGAACCGATCTCAGGTGCAAGTCGTACATTTAGATGTTCAGAGATTATGAAAACGAACTGAAAACTGTCCAAATATTGAAATCTGTGACAATATTGATTCAGCCGTAATTAGTATATATTTTATTTTCGTATCGACCAAAAATGTTACTAAAAAGTTACACAGACAGAACCAGGCCTCCAAATATTGCATTCAGCGACAAAAATTTGAAAATGCCACAAAACTAAAACCTGTATTTTCTGATGAACACGAATTGTTACTGTTGTAGAAAAGTTCAGAAGACTGGCCATTGCAATACAGAGGTGAAATAGCATGCAAGACAGGGGCCAACACAATCTGGCTCTGTGTCAGTTTGTGTCTGTTCTTGTGGTGTCAGGTCTCAATAACTCATCTGGTAGTTGTGTCTGTTCTTGTGGTGTCAGGTCTCAATAACTCATCTGGTAGTTGTGTCTGTTCTTGTGGTGTCAGGTCTCAGTAACTCTGCTGGTAGTTTTTGTCTGTTCTTGTGGTGTCAGGTCTCAATAACTCTGCTGGTAGTTTGAGTCTGTTCTTGTGGTGTCAGGTCTCAATAACTCTGCTGGTAGTTTGTGTCCGTTCTTGTGGTGTCAGGTCTCAGTAACTCAGCTGGTAGTTTCTGTCTGTTCTTGTGGTGTCAGGTCTCAATAACTCTGCTGGTAGTTTGTGTCTGTTCTTGTGGTGTCAGGTCTCAGTAACTCAGCTGGTAGTTTCTGTCTGTTCTTGTGGTGTCAGGTCTCAGTAACTCAGCTGATAGTTGTGGCTGTTCTTGTGGTGTTAGGTCTCAATAACTCAGCTGCTAGTTTGTGTCTGTTCTTGTGGTAACAGGTCTCAGTAACTCAGCTGGTAGCTTGTGTCTGTTCTTGTGGTGTCAGGTCTCAGTAACTCATCTGGTAGTTGTGTCTGTTCTTGCGGTAACAGGTGTCAGTAACTCTGCTGGTAGTTGTGTCTGTTCTTGTGGTGTCAGGTCTCAGTAACTCATCTTGTAGTTTGTGTCTGTTCTTGTGGTGTCAGGTCTCAATAACTCATCTGGTAGTTGTGTCTGTTCTTGTGGTGTCAGGTCTCAATAACTCATCTGGTAGTTGTGTCTGTTCTTGTGGTGTCAGGTCTCAGTAACTCTGCTGGTAGTTTTTGTCTGTTCTTGTGGTGTCAGGTCTCAATAACTCTGCTGGTAGTTTGAGTCTGTTCTTGTGGTGTCAGGTCTCAGTAACTCAGCTGGTAGTTTGTGTCTGTTCTTGTGGTGTCAGGTCTCAGTAACTCAGCTGGTAGTTGTGTCTGTTCTTGTGGTGTCAGGTCTCAGTAACTCAGCTGGTAGTTTGTGTCTGTTTTTGTGGTAACAGATCTCAATAACTCATCTGGTAGTTGTGTCTGTTCTTGTGGTGTCAGGTCTCAGTAACTCAGCTGGTAGTTTGTGTCTGTTCTTGTGGTAACAGGTCTCAGTAACTCAGCTGGTCTCGTACATTTCACAAATTCAGTTTTCTAATTTCGAATTTCAATGAAACCTGTGTGTGTGTGTGTGTGTGTGTGTGTGTGTGTGTGTGTGTGTGTGTGTGTGTGTGTGTGTGTGCGACTATAATGACGTTGATGGTTATAACATCAAGCACTAAAATAGATAAAACGTGTACATTTGGCATATGGAAAAAGGAAACGAGGTGTTTCGTCTGTTGGTTGGCTGGTTAGTTGGTTGGTTCCTTGGATTATTTGGTTGGCTGCTTAGCTGGTTTGTTATAGTTCGTTCAACATCTCATAAACACAAGTCATTTTCTCCAAAACTGCCGGTTAGATCGCAACGACTTTTTGTGCATTCAACCTTAGAATATTCATATGGCGAAAGTAGTGGTAATCTTTAGTCCATAGATGCTCATGATACCAGCCAATTCCTTTGATCTGTTCCAACCACTGAAAATAGGTAGACTGAACTTTTAGATTGTATGGTAAAAATCTGAATTTCCGTTTGTTTGTTTTTCTGCCAGAGGCGTGTCTTCACAATACATTGATAGGTGAAGTAAATTTATTTGTTGTCATTTATGATTAACTGAGTTGAGATCAGCTGAGTCAAGAAACACATAACAGCTCTCGGGGCACAACCCATAGTTCCCCAACTTCCCATAGTTCCCCATCTTCCCATAGGTCCCCCATGCTCCGTTCTCATCTTCAGCAGTAAGCGCAGAGTTCCAGTACTAATGGTATCGGAAGCAATCTGATGTTATGTCCATCTTGCCATTCCTGAAGTGTAATGCGCCAGTCAGGCCCTCTGGTCACGTTCAGGTGTATCATTCTCTCCAGGCCATGATAATCTATTTTCTTTTCTGAGAATCGCTACTGGCTGAAAACAAGTTAATCGATCTTGGTGCCAGTACTCGTCCTACTCTCGGAGTACATGTTCAACACACATTTTCCAGAAATGAATGTCTTTTTTAAGAGGTACTTTTGAAATGTCAATACTGCATTGTGATTTCGATGTTAATTTCAGTTTTCGGACAGTAACAAGTTGATTTGTCTCTAACATTTTTAAGATCTCAGGTCTAATAACATGTACATCAAAGTCGTCAACTTTCCATTTCCTTCTTTGCTTGACATGAGTGTACTCTGTGTTCTGTCTCATCCAACGGTTAAATGATGCTCTATCCAGACCAAGCGCCAATTGTGTTTTGTTTCTCTGGGTCATGAGTATCCCAATATAAATAACCCATCTTAGACTCTCTGAGAAAGTGCTGCTACAGTCAAACGGTCACCTGTCATAGTGTGCATAACTTCCTGAAACTAATGAAAGTAAACCTTCCCAAATTCTACCAAGAAGGTTTCATAATAAAAATGTGTATTTAAAAAAAAAAAAACGCTTGATATTCTTCTTTCGTGACAAAAAAATTTTTCTTAACGTCATGTAATGGTTGTAGCTGTAATGGTTGTAGTAGTAATGGCTGTAGCTGTAATGGTTGTAGTAGTAATAGACATTCTCAGACTGCATGCTAAACGGCATGGCGATAAAAACAGGCGGTTTTCGAGAAAATGGCTTACATGTGTGTTTATCTGTTGTTGAACGGACTACAGTTAATTGGTTGGTTAAATGGATAATCGATTGTTTGGTTGGCTAATTGGTTGGTAGGCTTTTAAATTCTTTGGCATTACGGTTATGTGGCTTGTTAGTTCGATGGCTGATTGGTTGGTTGGATAGTCAATTGGTTGATTGGCTGAATATTTGTTAGTTGATAATTGTTTGATGTCCTGGTGCCATGTTGCAACACAGCACACAGGGATTGGCTGAGGAATCAGACAAGAGACAA